ACACATGAAGAGCGACTTTAATACCAAAATTCATAGTTCAATTACTATCTGTTCTCCTAATACCAAATATAGTACTATTTATTACCTTTCGTGCAATTGTGGTACACATTTCCAAAACCTACCACCAACAAGACAAAATTTCAGCTATATCCGTTCACTTAACACAAAACTATTTTTTTTAATTTCGTACCATTTAGTACAGTTTGCACACTTAGTACACATTTTGAAAACTATCAATCTTACTTTCCAAACTTTGATTTTTGTACCAAATTACAAGTTTTTAGCTTTATCTTTTCATATTATACCACCTGGAACCATTTTAGAAGTTTAGTATTATTTTAGAACTTTTCGTAACCCTAAAGCTCGTATTTCCAAAAACCCTTTCGTTCAACTATCATGCACTCATCAGTAACTCTAATTTCAAATTTCTATTTTTAGTACATTTTAGTACTTTTCGTGCCCTTTTGGTACGAATTTCCAAAATGTCAACATTTCAAAATTTCTCAGTCAGTTACTTAACATTTTTTTTCATTTAGATGGGTCTCACCTTCATATAACGGAACTTTTAAATTCTAAAATAGGCTGTTTGGCCATATCGCTCATTTCCTTTAAGAGTGGCTTTCGTAAAATGGCTGTCTCCCAATTATTGGTATTTGCGGACCTAACCTCATTTTTTTAGCTTATTGGGCGATTTCAAATGTTTATAAAGCTTGTGAACTCAAGACACTATGCCAGTTTCTTTTTTTCTTCCGCTTGCCATGTGACTGCAGGGTCAGTTATGCTAAGATATGAACTAAATTACTCACTGCCATGTTGTACATAAATACATATGTATGAGCATGTGGACACTTCTTTCTGTACGACAAACTACATACGACAATTATTGGTTACTGGTATAGAAGATTTTATTTTCTTTTTCACTTTTTTATTTTTTTCTCCACCAACAATTAATATTTTCTCTTTCTTGACATTTTAGTTTTTTTTTTCGATTTTTCCCGTTTCCGTTGGACATTGTTTTTGTTTGGTTCTCCTTAAAACTTAACATTAGTCTTGGCATCGATTTCTTGCTCTACATGTGATTCCCTGTGCCACGGCGAGTGCGCATTTACGTTGTGAGCTTGACATCAAACAAATGGTGATCGCATCAAAACGAAAACAAGGACGGAAATCGTATGCGCCTGTGTGAGTGTTTTATTTTTTTTTATTCAACATTTAATTAAGATTTTATGGAAGTTCCATTATAAACACTACATAAACATTGGACGATCATTGGGTGAAGAGGAAATCACATTGGAGATTTTTTTCCCACGACGAGATCAGAGTGCGGATCGAAGCTGTGAAACCTTGGATATGCAGTTTTGAACTATAAACGCATTGAAATATTTTGAAAATGTAGCCCTAGTTCCTATTACTTTAATTTCTGAACATTACAAAAGATGATCTTCCACCTAAGTCCCGCAAATTCTTCTTTTTATAACCTCCACCATAGTCCATACTATATTAAGTTTAGTCCAAGGTATATTAAGTTTGTCATTCCGTTTGTAACACCTCGAAATATACATTTTAGACCCCTCAAAGTATATATATTCTTGATCAGCACAAAATTCTATGTCTATTTAACGATGTCCGTCCTTCTGTCCGTCTGTGGAAATCACTCTAGCTTCTGAACGAATTGAAGTAGATTTATAAAATTTTACTCAAAGTAATGTTATGTCTGCAGGACTTTTGATATTGAAAATGGGCCATGTAGGTCCACGTTTTGGTATAGCCCCCATATAACGGTACCTCCCGATATTCGGTATTTTGATGATTGTAACGTGATTATTCACCGGAACTGTTTCAAATTTGGTATTTGAAGTTCGTAATAGATACTACAGCCTAAGACAGAAAATTGTCTGTGCAGGTCCACGTCTTCGTATAACCCCCATATAACGGTACCTCCCGATATTCGGTATTTTGTTGATTTTAGCGACATTATTCACCGGAATTGTTTCAAATTACGTATTTAGAGTTCGTAATGGGAACTACAGCTTAAGACACAAAATCGTGTGTGCAGGTCCAGGTCTTCGTATAGGCTCCATACAACAGTACCTCCCGATATTCGGTATTTTAATGATTTTAGAGACATTATTTACCGGAACTATTTCAAAGTTGGTATTTGAAGTTCGTAATGAATGCTACAGCCTATGACAGAAAATTGTCTGTACAGGTCCGCGTCTTCGTATAGCCCCCTTATAACAGTACTCCCGATATTCGGTATTTTGATGATTTTGAAGGCATTAATTACCAGAACTGTTTCAAATTTGGTATTTGAAGTTCGTAATGGATACTACAGCCTAACACAGAAAATGAGCCATGTAGGTCCACGTCTTCGTATAGCCTCCATATAACGGTACCTTCAGATATTGGGTATTTTGATTATTTTAGCGACATTATTTACCGGAACTATTTCAAATTTGGTATTTAAAGTTCGTAATAGGTACTACAGCCTTGTCTGTGCAGGTCCACGTTTTATAACCCCCATGGTACCTCCCTATATTCGGTATTTTGAAGATTTTATCTACATTATAAACAGATTTTTTTCATTTGAATATAGTAATAATGTGACAAAAGTTGCCTATGCAGGTCTACGTCGACGTATAAACCCTAATATACGGCTACATACGGTATTTTTAAAATATTAAAATAATTTTTAACGAATTTTATTTATTTCAAAATTGTCAAATTTGTACCAAATGGTGGAGGATATTCAAGTGTCGGCCCGGCCAAACTTACAGCTTTTTTACTTGTTTTAAACACTTTATTAATGAAAGGACCTACTTCAACTCACACACGGGCATGAGCATATTTCTTGCTCGATACTTTTCTATAATCTTGTATCTCAGATCTAACAATTTATTAACGAGCAATTAAACAAATTTTCCATGCATTTTCTTCATTGCATAAATAAATGACGAACAACTTCAAACAAAATTACTGCCCCTTCTTCGGGTTATGTGTATATTTTCATTTTCTATCACATAAACAATTGTGTAGTGTTTTTCCACCATTTTCTAAGTGTGTACACGCACATACATAGGAAAAGCGTAAAATTAATATTTAATTTTTCTTTTGCTGCTTTTGCGGCTTCTGCTACCACTGCCACGCAGTCCCAACATAAAAGGCGGAAATGAATATTTTCATAATAAACTTCGAAACATATGCAGCTTTAAATGCACTGAGAATCAACCGGCTGACGAGTAGGCAGGCTAGCTAACTGACTGCCTGACTGCATTGCTCATCGTAAATCACCATAAAGTTCAAAAATTCAAATGACTATTAAAAAAAATACATAAATGCGGTACATACACATGTACTTGTGTGTGTACCAACAGCATATGATTAGAACTAATGTACAGTGTCTAATGAAGATCAAAATCTTTTCTGATCTTTCTCTAAAGATTCAAGAAATACAGACCTTCTAACAGATGTCAAATACGAATAGATGAACTTCGAAGACTTTTTTTATAAATGGGGTATTCTAGAAGATGTCCTTCCAGGTAACTTCTCTTGGTACAATTCCTCCCAAAGGTTATGTATGGACAAAGGATATTCCAAAGGTCATTTAAATATAGAAAACTTTTCAAAAACCCACTTTATAAAATTACAGACTTAAGTCGTCTACACATAAAAGAACTTTTGGGGGATTTTTTTTAAACTTCAACAAATAGGATATCTTTGAGAACTTTTCTATATACGGGGTGAGATGAAGAAACTGCAACCAATTCAGACTGCTGTCATTTCTAAGCCACTCGTTCGACAGCTGTTAAAATTATTCCAGTGACAGCTCATTATAATGTTTACAAGCGCACAAAAGCATTTTGGTGAGAATTTTCCAGAAAAAAGTTATTCGTGATGAAATTCCAGCGAGATAGGGTGATTTCTTTATATTTGGCTGGAAAACCACAAGTGGCTATCGTTAGAGCATTCCAGCATTTAAATGTGAATATATATTTTGTGCCTCGTACCATCGCTCGTTACCGTGATACTGGCAGCGTAGCCCGACGTCAAGGAAGTGGACGGAAAAAAACAGCAACATCAGCAGCAAATGGTTCGAAAAGTAAAGAAGCGACTTGATCGAAACCCGCGTCGCAGTGGCCGAAAAATGGCTCATGAGCTGAACATATCGCAATATTCCATTCGGCAAATATTGAAAAATGAACTCGGAGCAAAGCCATTGAAATTCCAAAAAGTGTAAGAACTTACACCGCAACAGAAAGAAAATAGACTCAAAAGAGCTAAAGAGTTGCTTCACTTGACCGAAAGAGGTAAACTGACGAATTTGGTTTTCTCCGTCTCCGATGAGAAAACATTCGTTGTCCAGCAGTTTGTAAACAAACAAAATGATCGTGTTTTCTTGCCAAAGAGGTCACCAGAACTCAAGCGCCGGCCATGGTGATGGTGTGTATTATTAATCGTATTAATCGACCCAGGCATCAAAATAAATGCCGAATATTATCGCGAAAATATTCTGGAGGGTGTATCAAAGCCTTGGAATGCAAACATTTTAGCCACAGCCCTTGGACATTCCAACAGGACTCAGCACCATCGCAGTCAGCAAAATGAGGTTCCTCGCTTCCACCAAAATCTCCAGATCCCAATCCGTTGAACTATTGTGTCTGGAGTATTTTGGAAAGCAAGGTTGGCACTAAAAAATACCAAAGTGTCGATCGATCGCCTCAAGCAAGCGCTTCGCCGGGTATGGGCCAAAATACCGCAGAGCAAGATTCGGCCGTTTGAAGACCATAATTCGTGACTAATGTGACCAATTCGAACAAATGTAAACTTATTCTAAAATTTGATGCTATTTCCGACATTTTTTGTAAATTATGTAAAAATTTTTCCTTTTGACTTTGTTGCGGTTTTTTCGTCGGAGAGCCAATTTTATGAAAAATGATAGATTTCTCTTTTTTGGAAAGCTTTCTTTAAAAAGCACCTTTGAATATAATCTTGGAACTTACCTAAAATCTGATGACCAATTAAGTTAGTAGTTCAAAGTCATATTCAGATCTATTGATCTAGAATCGCAGCTATTTTCTAAAAAGAAAAGAGAAAATATATAAATTAGTATTTAGTAAAAGTAGATAATTAGTAAAAGACTAGTTATGCTCCGTCAGGTTAGACTTGTTACACTCCCAGAAGGAGAAAACTAAAATTACAGACAGATCAGATTAAAATTTTCAAAATTTGGGCTTTGCATTACATGAATAATATGCCAAAATTCGGTAAAAAATTATAATTTTTTTGCGAAAGAGACGTCTACCCCTAGGAGCCAGAAATTTAAATTCATTGTCCAATCGATTTCAAAAGTTGGGAAAGATGATAAAAATATCAAAAATTTGACTGTAGCTTTAAAGCGTGATTTTCCAAGAGCTATAAGAAATTATGAAATTCAATAATTTGCGAGCGTTGTACGTTTGTAAGACGATTCATGGTTAAATATTTAGACCAAACTGAAGAAGACAGTGAAACAAAACCCGATATATGGTATGGTACCGTTACAAGCGGGATATACGAAGACTTGGACCTGCACAGACAATTTCCTGTCATAGGCTGTAGCATCCATTACGAACATCAAATACCAAATTTGAAACAATTCCGATTAATATTGTCGCTAAAATTATCAAAATACCGAATATCGGGAGGTACCGTTATATGGGGGCTATACGAGAATTTTCTGTCTTAGGCTGTAGTTTCCATTTCGAACTTCAAATACAAAATTAAAACAATTCCGGTGAACAATGTCGCTTTGATCACCAAAATACCGAAAATAGGGAGGTACCATTATATGGAGGCTACACCAAAAACGTGGACCTACATGGCCCATTTTCAATACCAAAAGTTCTGCAGACATAATATGCATTTGGGTAAGATTTTATCAAACTACTTCAATTCGTTCGGAAGCTAGAGTGATTTCCACAGACGAATAGATGGACGGACATCGCTAAATCGACATAGAATTTTATGCTGATCAAGATAATATATACTTTGTGGGGTCTCAAAGGTAGGTATTGCAAACGGAATGACAAACTTATCCGATTTCCACAAAGATATCCGATTTTCCCTTTATGATACCTAAAAAATTCAAGACTTGTAGATTCTTCCAGGTTCTGGAACATAGCATCAATAAATATGACCTTGAACTTGTTGTCTGAACAGAGATCCACACCAATTAGATAGGAAGACTGAAATGTAAGAAATGTTTTTTTTTGACCGCAATTTTTAACCCAACTAAAGATATGAACGTTAATCTTTTTATAGCCTTTCTACGTTCCTCAAATAAGTCAGTGATAACATTTCTCTTTATCACTTAAAAAATTGACTACTATCAAAAGATAATATCAGTTCCACGTGAATGTTCGGAAGCCCATTCTTCCCTACTGAAGATGTCATCCTACGTGTTGTTGAGACATATAAGCGAGTATCTTATGAGATTGGGAATCCAAAATGTGTTTCTTGGTGTTGTTGTTAATTAACATTTCATTAACTTAACTGCAATTTGTTTAAAACTGGAATACGTCGTTTTTAATAACTTTGTATTACTGTAGCTGTTAGCACGCTTCATAATAAATTGGATCAATAAACTTGACCTCCAAATGGAAGTTCACAACAGTATGACGACCTTGAGAGTCACGATCTGTTAACAAAAAAAAATATCAACGTGCACTTGTTATCTCTTTGGATGATATGCATACTTTTTTTAGATTTATCGTTGAAAAAATATAAATTTTTGGGCTTTGAAAATTGTTGATAAGCAAAATTTCGTTTAACGTAACTTAGCAGCAATAGCTTAACATCTCGAAACCTCAACATTAAAATGAAGTATTCTCTACATCTTGATCGAACTTAAATAGTCCCTCTTTTCTAGCATTCTCATTTTTGGGAACCTACTCAGTCTCTGGTTTCCATACCCACTTGTTAACGTCCTTGGCTGTTGTGAAAGTCCATGTGTAGATGGAATAAATCAAAATTAACAAGCAGTTCGACCAGGCCGTACTTTAAATACCTTCCACCATTTGGAACAAATTCTGGTGAAAATCTTAAAAATACCGAAAATAGTCGTTATATTGGAGTCTATACGAAGACGTAGACCTGCATAGGCAAATTTTTGTCATAAGCCATTATAATATTCAAATGCGAAACTTGAAAAAAAAATCCGGTGAATAATGTAGCTAAAATCATCGAAATACCGAATATCGGGAGGTGCCGTTATATCGGGGCTATACGAAGACCTGGATTTGCATATACAATTTTCTGTCACAGGCTGTAGTACCCATTATGAATACGAAGTTCGAAACAACTCCTGTGAATAATGTCGCTAAAATCATTAAAATACCGAATATTGGAAGGTACCATTAATGGGCGAGATGAAAAAGACTGCAACCAACTTCAGAATGCTGCCATTTCTAATCCACACGTACGACAACTGTTAAAATTATTTCAGTGGCAGCTCATGACATTGTTTACAAGCACACAAAAGCATTTTAGTGAGAATTTTCCAGAAAAAAAGTTATTCGTGATTGAATTCAAGCGTTATAGTGTGATTCCCTTATATTTGGCTGAAAACCACAAGTGGCTATCGTTAGAGCACTCCAGCACTTAAATGTGAATAAATCTTTTGTGTCTCGTACCATCGCTCGTTACCGTGATACTGGTAGCGTAGGCCGATGTCAAGGAAGTGGACAGAAGAAAACAGCAACATCAGCAGAAATGGTTCGAAAAATAAAGAAGTGACTTGATCGACACCCTCGTCGAAGTGGCCGAAAAATGGCTCGTACATATCATATCGCAATATCCCATTCGGCAAATATTGAAAAATGAGCTCAGGGTAAAGCCATTTAAATTCCAAAAAGAGCAAGAACTTACACCGCAAAAGAAAGAACAGAAAATAGAGCTAACGAGTTGCTTTCTCTTGGCCGAATTTGGTTTTCTCCGTCTCCGATGAGAAAACATTCGTTGTCCAGCAGTTTGTAAACAAACAAAATGATCGTGTTAACTTGCCAAAGAGGTCAGCTGAAATGTGCACCTTCGGTTGGCCACCAGAACTCAAGCGCCGGCCATGGTGATGGTGTGGGCCGCCATAACAGCCGATGGTCGCTCTTCGTTCGTATTAATCGACCAAGGCATAAGAATACATGAATGCGGAATATTATCGCGAAATTATCTGGATGGTGTATTTAAGCCTTGGGCACGCAAACAGACCTTTGACATTCCAACAGGACTCAGCACCATCGCACGTTACAATCGTTACAAAATGAGGTTCCTCGCTTCATTTCCAGCGCACAATGGCCACCAAAATCTCCGGATACCAATCTTTTGGACTATTGTGTCTGGAGTATTTTGGAAAGCAAGGTTGCCACTAAAAAATACCAAAGTGTCGATCACCTCAAGCAAGCGCTTAGCCGGGTACCAAAATACCGCAAAGCAACATTTGGGCAGCGTGGGACGGTTTTATTGGCCGTTTGAAGGCCATAATTCGTGCCAAAGGTGACCAATTCGAACAAATCTAAACTTATTCTAAAATTTGATGCTTTTTCCGACATTTTTTTACTTTCATTCAGTAAAATTAAAAAAAAAAAAATGTAAAAATTATGGTGTTTGAGTTTCTTGCAGTTTTTTATCTCACCCAGTACTTTGTTATGTCTAAAATTATTATTTCGATGAGTTACAAACGGAATGACGAACTTAATATACCCTCCATACTATTTATGGTGGAGGGCATAAATAAAAATAAAATGTCAAACAATACCAATGTTTCCATAATCCAGATAAAATCCCCTCCAAAAAAACCAAATCGTGTACTATTTTTTTCCGAAATAATGATACATACTTCCCACGGTTCAATCCCACTGTCGATAATGCAGTACAACGTAGCAAAGCCAACGCAAATTGGCGTTTTCTTTTACAACTCCAATGCTTAACAGGCAGCATTGAGAGGCAGCAGCGTACACACTAAAAACATTTGTTGTATGGGGTATGGGGCACGTTGCAGTTCTCGGTGTTGGCTGCCGCTAATTATGGAACAACCAACAAGTGTATGTGGATGGATGGATGGATGGATTTGGCTGGGGAATGGTGTAGATGAATGGGAATGGGTATGGGTTTAGTGGTGATGGATGTTGCACGACCACGTTCATAAATGGCAACGACGGTCAATCCCTCTTTTTTCTGTTACAGCGCTGTGTTTGTTAAAAGGGGAGGGGGTCTGTGAATGCATTCTAAGGCTTGTTCTTCGTTCCTCTTTTGATTTCAGTTTAGTTGGGCGGAAAATCATTTGATTTTCCAAATTGCATTCACTCAGACCGCAATTTATAAAGAAATGTTGAAAAAAGAATTGAAGTTAATAAAATTGACGACCAGCGACTATGCAAACATCACTATTTAGCTGCCATTACACATTTAAATTAAGATTGTTGTTGTTTTTGAATTTTTGCTCCATTTGAATAGGAAAAATTGGGGAGCAGCATTTACCACGCGTATTAAGCTTTGAAATGCTACGAATGGAGAGTTGGAAATATTATGATGCGAGGTAGCGGTAAAATGTATTTTTCCTTGGAAACTTATAGCGGGAAAGATGCATTTTTGATGTATTTTGTAAAAATACAAGATCTAGCATTTTAAAAAAGCCAGGATATTATAGAAAAATAGTTCTCGTCTTCGACCGGATTTACTGAATTTGTTACATAATTAAGGAATTATTGTTCGGTTCCAGAAACTGCAAAAATGTAAAAAAAATATAACATTATCCGACTTTCTCTTCATGATTTCAGAAAAAAAGAAAATAAAATTAAAAGTACGATTTTTTCAGACCTATACAGGGTGAGATAAAAAAAACTTCAACAAAGTCAAACGCCATAATTTTTACATTTTTTTTGATTTATTGAATGAAAGCAAAAAATGTCGGAAATAGCATCAAATTTTAGAATTAGTAGATTAGTAGATTTGTTCGAATTGATCACCTTTGGCACGAATTATGACCTTCAAACGACCAATGAAACCGTCACACCCTGCCCGAATGTTGCTCTGCGGTATTTTGA